CACAATAATTGCTATTTGCTATATATAACAGTCTTGGACACTTGCTATAATTACTTAATTTGAGCGTAGATTTAGCATATTTTCCTGCTATAGAATACAAATGGTTAAATGGTTTCCAAATCAGATTACTCAAGCCAAGTTTCATAGAATACAAATGTGCTAAAAATTAATCGACTGGCTTCTTTATGTGTAAATGGTTTCCAATTCAGATTACTCAAGCCAAGTATTCATTACATTTCTTCTTGTTGTTCATTTCTACATTTGCTAATTTGAATATGTTTTTTGTGTGATGAAGATCTGCTGATGAGATTTTAACTTCCTTTCTCTTCTCTTTGGTTTACCCGATTGATGAAATCAAGGCTATGTACATCTTGTGAAGCATTTGACAGCTTGTGGATTTAGCTCTAAACTTAGAGGTAAAAATATTCATGCAACTATGCCTTTGTTTTAATTGTGATTCAAAATGGGGAATCAACTCATGTTTTGAAAAAAAAATTATGAAGTTCAAGCAATGCAATCTGCCAGWAACTCCTCGAATACTGGATGGAGCAACCATTCTTGCTAAACAAGGAGACCGGTTGAAGGTGTCCATAACATTTTCCTTTACATTTAAATGTACACACTTATACTTTTTCCTTCAGTCATCCAGTTTTGTATAAATGCAACTGTAGTAGTGGATTATATTTTTCTTGAATAACAATTGCATTCTATGGCTGGATTCTAATCGAATCCTGATTGTTTTCTTTTTGAATCTGGATTTAGACTGGTGGACATGGCGATCAACTTCCCTAAGATTGGATTAGTTGTACAGGGATCTCAAAGAAAGCATTGAATCTATAAAGCTCAAATTTCCCCATCCATTCTTCATCTCTTTTGGTAACGTTTTATTGATTTTTTATATAGTCTTGAATACATTCTCTATTGAAGAATATGTTATGTGTTTTACTAAAAGAAACTCTCTTTGCAGTAGCGGTTATTATACCGTTGACTGGATTTTTGAAAACTTTCATCAATTAAAACTGGAATTTTTATCTAATATTGCTATGTTACCTTCCATTTGGTGTTACTTATGCATTAAACTCGAGGTTTTGTTATTGTCGAAGGCTTTAGGATTTCCCTTTTTCAAGTTTTTCGTATTGTTCTGTGTAACGTACCGTCATAGAAAATATACAATGTTCTTTGAATGAATCTTTTCATGCTCGTGCTCCTGATGTTTATGTCTTCTTGTATGTAGCTCGAAACTATCAATGAGATGAATGAGGATGTTTCTTTGGCCTTGTGCATTCTCAGTTACTGTCACAATTAACTTATCTTCAAAGCTTCCTTTGGTGTCAGATTATAATTTGACTGGGATGGGTACATAAGATTCTAATTGGCTTTTAATATAGAAAAAGATGATGAATAAAGACTTGCTCTATACTACCAAATGCAAGGAGTAACTATAGGGGTTTAACCAACATTTAAAGCTCATTTTAATAAATTCAAAGAAATAAACTGTTAGCGTTTTTCTAGATATCAAAGGTGTACAACTATCAAATCTGTTGCCAAGGTTTATATATGCTGAAGCGATGAGTCGCTATTGATATTGGTGAAAGATATAATGCAAATATGTGTATCTAATTAAATGATTCTTAGTGAATGGGTTTCCATATATATTGGCGAGAGATACAATGCAATATGTAGGGATGTACTTGAAATAACACTATAACTATGAATGTGTGGCTCTTTGCCATAGCAYATTCCCATCCATAAGGAACTTGTTCATGTGTGCTGCTACACAGTTGGTTTAAAGTCTGCACAAAGCATGAAACAGGTTTATTACTGGAGTTGTTTGCTCCAACAATATTTTTTATTCAGAAAGAACAAGATTGGATTTTAGTCTTATGGTCTGTTGGAGTTCATTTTGAGGAAATCAAGTATGTTTATCTTCTTTTCTTTTATTTTCTGCTCTGTAATATTCCGTTTCTTGTACTAACTAGAACAAACTGAATAATTGGTTTTTCTATGCACAACTTTAAGATTTTAGTCCACCAAAACGGTATCATATAATAACAACTTACCTTSTAAGCGCTAACCGTGGTAAGAGTTGTCGTTATTACTTACCTGGTAAGACTTTTGGTCCTTGCCYCACTCTTATTGGGTAAGATTATTGGTCCTTACCATATTCATCCGATAAGGTAATGTGACTTGGTAAGTGCTTACCTGGGTAAGCGTTTGGTAAACGACACCTTAGATGTAGTTCATTGCTTTTATTACTGGCCAACTGTTATACACGTGGGGGTTTTCAACACTGATGCACGAATGATGCGACTGTATGTTGCTGGTTCTTGATTTTTTTTAATGGACATGGTTCTTCTTGCTTTTTTTTGTGGCATATTTTGCAGGATCCTTTTGATATATTTTGTTGGTTCCTTTAAGGAATAGATGTCTTCATCTTTGAGTTGGAGAGGTTGGAGCTTTCTATGCACAATGYAGAAGGTAACCATAGACACAATCTAGGAGAGTTGTGAACCACTGCAAGATGGTTAAGAGTAAGCGTGTCCATGAAAAGTGGAGTTGTCCTGACATGGAATTTTTAAAAGTATATTTTTTATGCTCAAGGCCGTAAATCTCTTGATTTGTCTTGATTTAATGTTAAGTGTGCATAAATGTAAAAGATTATCAAGATATTGGATGTAGATGTCCAAGTTAATTAGATGTTTATAACCGGAGTCTTTTGTTGTAGAAATCATTAACTTATGATATAATTATTTTGTATTCATGTATTGTAATTTGTAAACGTATGCAACTTTTATTTTGTCGAGAATACTTTTCTATATGACCAATTTCATTGTCCCATTTTGTGTAGTTCGATTAAAATTTGATATGCTTTTGGACTGACTTATGTYATGTGCATGACATTATTTCATATGTGGTTTGGTTTGAAAAAAAAACCTCAAACTGCATAAGTTGTTTGGTTTGCAGTTTTTGACTCTAAATCAGACCCCACATCGAAGACTTCTATTTCTAGCGTTCTTCGGTGTTTTTTCTGTGCAACGACATCTTTCACTTTCCAAGACCATATAATCAATTTATACATCTCGAAACAAGCATTAGACTGCACTTGAATAACAAGAGACTTGATTTAATTGAGGTATATGATTCAAAGATTGTGTAATTCAATTGCTAAGGATTACCTCAAGACTAATAGATGTCTATGGTRTTTATATCGATTTTTRTTTTGATRCATGTTGTACACAACGATGAGAGTGTTGAATGGTATGATGTCGTAGAACAACATTTTAAAACTTTTGCAAATGGGGTAACATAATGCATGTTTTGACTTATACCTCTCCATGGCCTGGTATAATCATTCAAGCAATCAACTTCTTTTGGTTAATATCATTCGKTAGTGAGAATATTGCTCGCTCTTGCTCTTTCTACTGTGTAGCTGATCATCCAAAATCAGATGAGTTTTCTTCACTCCATCAAGGTAACACTCTAAGAAAAGTTTACTCGGAACCAAGTTTACATGATGTTGTCCTGAAGGATATCATGCAACTTTTCATTTACATTTATTCGAATTTTACATTCCGCGGGTACACAACTAGTATATATATATATATCATGCATATAAAAGAACATATATATATATATACCTATGTATTATGCATATATCCCTATGCATAAAATACACATACTCACGTTTTTAACCCGTGTAAACATGTATCCACATAAATGATTAATTCACATAATAAATACCTTGGGTAATAACCAGGACTCGATTATCACAACTCCGGGCGAATATGAAGCGCATGGATGGCTATATTTTTGTTTTGTCTACGAACAAGGAAGCTATAAGTAATGCAACTATGAATCACATAGAGAGTTCGATCCTGGCTTAGGATGAACGTTGGTGGCATGCTTAACACATGTAATTGGACCCGAGATTGTGATTGCATTATAAGAACACATTTGAACAGATCGAGCAAGTTCGAATTGACGTAACATGAAACCTATTAGTCCGAAAGCACCATGGAGAGCAACAAAAGTCCACAGACCACCTAATTGACACTAACGAGTAAAATATCCTTGTGCTTCAGGACCCCAGACTAATAAAACATGCTAAACTATTAGCAGGAGTAGAAACTATGGCAGATAAGAAATTGCAGCCTTCCAAATAGGAACTGGCTAATCCATAGGTATACCATGAAGTTACAAAGGTTGTACCCGTGAACCAACCCCCTACGAAATTTCATCGGTAAATGAGTGGAAGCGAAACAAATGTATTGTGTGATAACTGGGTCCTGGATATTACCCAAGGTATTTATTATGTGAATTAATTGTTTATGTGAATACATGCTTACATCAATTAAAAACGTGAGTATGTGTATTTTATGCATAGGTATGACATTGATATGCATAATATGGAATATATATGCACATAAATGCATAGTGTATGCATGTATATGTGTGAACAAAAGTCTAATGAATAGATGGTGTATGTATATGCATGTGAAGGAGGAGGCTTTAGTAGCCGACTTCCCTGTTAAGGAAAGGTATAAAAAGAGGGTCTTACCTCCATTTACTCCTCTTGCTATTTTGTTACCATAAGTGAGCGATTTATTTGAAGAGGTTTGACCGGATTTCTAATTAGTTTGTCAAGAGACTGATTTTCAAAAAGACTTTCAAGGTGAGTGGTTTATCATTTTATTTTAGTTGTAAAGTAATTCCTTTGGTTCAATTATTACTTGTTTAGAAAACTTGTTTTAACCGGTTTAACCTTAAACCAGACAAAAAGATGAGCGGTTTAAGACTAAACCGCTTTGTATATCACCCGGTTTAGTCTTTAACCGGACAAGGGTTGGGCGATTTAGATATAAACCGGTCATAGGCTCACCCAGTTTAAGGGTAATTCGATCAAGTGTTGGCCGATTTATGTGTGAGCGATCTATGAAATTTTGAATCTGTATCAAGTGTTTTGATCGGAGAAGTATGAATACGACTAAAGGTGACCGGTTTATTTAAATCGGACAAAATGTCATGTTACCCGGATTGTTAAATCGAGCAAGATATGAATAGTGTTGTCCGGATTAGTAATCCAGACAAGGCTTTTGGGGAATTCTCTATGTGTTAAATCGGACATAATGTGAAGCATTGTCCGGATTTGTAATCCGGCCAAGGTTTTGTCCAAATTGTGTTGACTTCCCATTGTATTGAGTTATTTAACAAGAAATGGGAGTTTTTGATAAATATGATTTTGAACTRATAATACTCTATTAACTATGGTCTATTCTATATGAAATTGTWTTGTGAAATATTTTGATGAGATAAGGGTGGCATATCAAGGAGAGGTACCATGGGATAAGGGTGGTATATCAAGGAAAGATGTACCATGGGATAAGGGTGGCATATCAAGGAGAGGTGTACATTTGGATATAAGGGTGGCATTTGTATGTGTGTTATGTAATATAACTCTTACTATTATATCCTTTACGATTACCGTGGTCTGGAATCTTTATTTCTTTGTGATTTAAAGGTTTTGGATCAGGGTTCTTATTGGAAATCATAGTTTAGATGTTATTGAGAAAGAGATAGCAGGTTTGGCCTGAAACTTTAAATAAACCTTATTTGATTTGAAAAGGTTTAAAAGTGGCATTATGATAACCTGGTAGTGCAAACCTATTTAGGTTTGATGTGTTGTTTGTGAACAAAGAACTTGTCTTGAGAAGTGAAAGTATCGGTATTGTGTTTTCACTTGTTCATATATTTGTTATATATATGAAGAATTATTTTACATCAAAGTTTTGGTGATTATCACCCTACAATAACATAAATAGGGTAACTTAGTAGACCTTTCGGTCTAACCCTCGTTTTTTTTGTGATTTTTAAAC